TCTGAATTATTAAAACTCTGATTTGACATTAAAAAAACTACGAAGATGCATTTTCGTGTACATTTCGAAGATGCATCTCTGAATAATATTGGTTCTAAAACACGCCAAAACTCTTCTCCTTCCTCAATTCTAAAAAGACACTATAAACCTTTTTTTCAAACTCTCTCAACTCACATTCTCTCAAAATCAATCAATCAAGTTCAAAACTTCTTCCATCAACATCAAGTACATCAAAGAGATCATTCAACACTGAAGTAAACTCTCAATTTGTAAGTTTTTTATTTTTGTAAATTTTTTGAATTTTTGTATAAATTAGTAGGAATTGATTATTGGGTTAAGAAATAGATGGTTTTTGCATGATTGATAGTTTATACATATTAAAAAACGTGTTTGATTGTTAAAAATAACGATTCGTATATTATTTTGGGGTTCGGTGGTCTACATTATCAACATTGACAAAGCTGCATGTTGTAGAAAATTTCAGAGATGCATCTCCAGATTTTTTCAACATTTGGATTCCCCGAAACCAGAGATGCATCTTCGTAATTTATCTGTTTTCTTTTCTTACTTGTAGGATTGTTTGTAGTAATTGTGTGACACTTATTTGGTTTATTTACAAACATTATGGATGATAGAGACGACAAGATTGAGGCACAGAAAAATTGCACAACATGCATCTGTTCAGAGGGAAAATAGTCAAGTTTCGGAAGCTCTTATTCCCTCTAGCCCAGCTCATGTAGAGGCATCGACTTCTAGGACTCATATATCTCCACCTTCTTCTTCTCATAGGAGAAGAGTGTCACCTACTGACGCATCATTGCATCCATCTTCCCGTAGGCAACAAGTTTTATTCAAATGCTAGAGGTACCAAGTCATCGAATGTACATGAGGCACCATTGCCAATCTAGACATCAGAGGGACCTCATGCTGATGAGCCAAGACCATCTCAGGCTGCTAAGGTTGATGAGCCAGTGCCACCCCAGGCATTTGGAGGAGGCCCCATAGAGTTTTCTTTGATGCCTCTTTACCCGGACCATATTGTCAGATATATCTAAAACGAAAAGGTAAAATTATTTGGATTCGTTCTTTTTAAATTATGTTTATTATTGTATTACAAGTTTTTGACATAGATTTATTTATCTACAGGACCTTGATTCACTGAAACTCATTAACCATGGGCGAAAGATCACTGGCTTGACTCATCCTAATGACGAGTGGTTTTAGGCTGCTTTGTTGTTATCTGAGATGAAGGACTTGTGCATGATCGGTTATGTTACAGTCAACCATTGGATGTTTAATGCATTCGTAGAGAGATGTCACACTAAGACATCATCATTTCATCTACCACTTAGTAAGATGTCTATCATACTCGATGGCGTGTCGTGTTTGCTGCATATTTCGATTAGAGAAAAACTTCTAGATCATGGCAGGATTAGCAAAAATGAGGCACTCGAGTTGATGGTAGACTATTTGGGAGTTGACCCAAAGGCTTTCATGAGGGAGATGGAAAAAAATCAGTGGGGCTCATGCTAGGTTTGAATTCCTGAAAAAGATATATACGAATGAGATCCTTAGAGCAGAGCATGCTAGAGGTGATGACGAGCAAGTGGGGCGGCATAAAGCGTATTCTACATGAGCCTACCTGTTATATTTGGTTGGAGTTTCCATTTTTGTGGACAAGAGTGTCACTTATGTGGATGTCGTCTACCTACAATATTTCGAGGACTTTTAGCAGATTCATGAGTATATTGGGGGCTGCTTGTTTGGTCTACTTGTACTATAAGTTATCAGAGGGTTGTAGGTGGAAGATAAAGCAGGTGACAGGCAGCATCAGACTATTGAGGGTAATATTTATTGGTATTTTAGCGTTTGTGTGTCATTTTCATTACGTTTTTGCAACGCCCTTACTGATGATTCGTGTGTTACAACAATTTTTAGACTTGGATCCTCTAGCACTCTCACGCTTCTCCGCCTGGTCGTGTGTACCAATGTCCCGTGCTCCTGTATTTTCCCCTCTCAGAGAAAACCAGGCAACAGAGCCTTTTAGAGTGTATATTGACTGCTTGGTTGTCGAGAATATGCACTTTAACAATTATGTTGATCACCGTGAGACACAGTCATTTGAAGACATAGTGTTATACTTAGGATGGTCGGCTTGCGTTCACGTCTCACATTTCTTCATGCACATGATCGGGTCATGCAGCAGTTCGACTACACTCAAACTATTCCCAGACACCTTGATGTGTCTACTCCTCCTATTATGACACGTAGAGATATGAATGTCATGTTTGATGATTATCTTAGTCATCTGGTATTGGAGAAGGCACAACGTACCCTAGCTGAGAGCAATTGGAGCTATGTCGACGGATATATCAGGTGGTTCTTTAGGGTGTATCATCTGTATATGGTACAGACCGCTCCAAGAGATCAGTCGAGGCTAGCTCATCAGGAGATACTAGAGGACGAGCAGACACATTTAGATCATGTGCATGATATCTTGTTAAAATATCATTACATTTTAGAGATTGTACAGGCATGCATTGACTAGGGTATCTTTTTTTATGGGTCTGAGGTGAGGCAGATTCTAGATGTCATTATGATAGAGGCACGATAAACACTTATGTATCGGAGATAGCGTCGGAGGACGGGGGTAGAGGAGGTCAAGGATCCCAAAGAGCTCTAGTCAGACATATGCAGTAGTTTATAGTATTTATACTTTGGATTTATTCTCGGTTCTATTTTATTTTGACTTATTTCGACTATATTGTGTATTTCGACTTCATTGTGTTTCGGTTGATGACTTATTTTGACCATTCGAATTTATATATGTCATTTTTTACATATCGATTGTATAGTTTAATGCTCATCACGTAATACGGTCCTTAACATTTATAATTCGTCATTTTCATCTGAATAATCATAAAATTAATTTAACTTGCACTGTTCTGATAGATTCTGGAGATGCATCTCCGTAAATCTTAAACGGAGATGCATATCTGAAATAATAAACATGTAAAATAAACCTTTTAAATAGGAATGTATGAGATGTGTTTTAAAATATGATGAAGATGTATCTCCGGATCAATTAACATTTTGACTTAAGACAAGGTGTGTTCGAAGATGCATCTTCAGAATTTGATAGACATTTTGAGTTTTTCATAGGTGTTTTTCTAACCCATGGAATGGGATAAGAAATTCCCATATGTAACTTTCACAATATATGATATCTCTTATGCAGTTCAACAAGTATGCCTATTTATGCATGACCCTAAAATGCAACATATGTCAGTTCTGAAGCGTGTCATTCGATATATTCATGACACTATTGATTTTGACCTTCACTTATATCCCTCTTATGTCTGCAAACTAGTATCTTGCACTGACTCACATTAGGTTGATTTTCCAAACAACAAACGATCCACTTCTACCTACTTTATATATCTTGATGACAATTTGATTTCGTGATCTGTCAAATGACAACATACTTTATCTTGGTTCAATACAGACGTCAAGTACCGTATAGTAGTTAATATAGTATATGAATCTTATTAGATCAAAAACTTACTCTTAGAATTACATTCTCCAATCACAACAGCTACTCTAGTCTATTATGATAACATGAGTGTGGTTTATATGAGTGTGGTTTATTTATATATTAACTCAGTTCAATATCAATGCACCCAACACATTGAGATGAATATATATTTTGTGCATGAAAAAGTTACTAGCAGTCAAGTACATATTTTACATATTCCCTTTTGTTATCAAATTGTCAACATATTCACCAAGAAACTTCTAGTGCAACTCCTTCGTGACTTTCATGATAGTCTCAACATTTATCAATCTTCAATTTCGACTACAAGAATGTGTTAAACTATTATGTGCATATCTCTATAGTTAGAATAACAATAATTGTAATTGATTAATCATGTTGATTAGTTATAATTGTAATTGTATGTTCAAAAGGCATATAACAATAATTATAATTGATTAATCATGTTGATTAGTTATGATTGTAATTGTATGTTCAAAAGGCATATGAATGAGAAGAATGAAACCTATTATTCTTACTTCATCTAATATCGATTCTAACTCTGATATCACAAATTATATTTTTTTTAAAGTAAAAAATGGAAGGATTATAAACACGAGCATCTAGAAGGATTAGTCGGAACATGATTAACATTGAATTTCAATGGGATCTTTGATAAATAAATGAAGTAAATTTAGAATTCTACTTGTTTAAAACATATATGAAAAGATGAGTCTATTTCCACCTTTTTAATCAAACATCATAAATTAGTTAAATTTTATGGAGGCTATTTTCTCTAACCCCAACATCAACCGGAAGAAGAAAAAATACTTCTAAAAACATGGATTTATTTTTAAGCATCAAGAAGGTGGAAAATACTACCCAAAGGAAGGGAAATTTGCAATTAAAAAGAAAAACTTGGCTATAATAAAATCCAACCCACATTAAAAGAGAGAAGACTTTTAAGAAAAAATTATAAACAATGGCACCTCTCATTTGTGTTTTCAACTAACTTGTTTCTCCAAGACTAGTATTGAAAGATGAGTTGAAGAAATGAAGAGGCAAATGAAATGAAGAATGCCTCTGATGGCACATGTCAGCAATGTTTTCATATATCAAGAATATCATTCCGCACAAAAGTACATACATCACAGAGTCGTGACAATGAGCAACTGTTAACAAACAAGTCAATGGGAACATGGAACAAAGGCCATCATCATCTTTGAGATGAGAAACAAGGTACATGATGATATATCATAATGGTATTAATGGTAAGAGCTCATGGAGTATTCTTCTGGTGTTGTATGGCAGACTTTAAGGGACTAGCTAGCACCTAGCCTGGCTGCTAGGTTCAAACAAGTGCAACTCCGTCCAATCCAGCAGTTCAGAAAACATGCCTCCAGAAAAATTCACACACATCATTCGGCATGCACAGACAATAAATACAATTACACGGGAAAGCGCTCTTTCAAGATGAACAACTGCGGCTACCTTGAGAGGCTTTATTTGATGGAGAATGCATGTCTGGTTTAATATCAGAATTGATGGCAATATTACCCATTCCAGCCTCCATGGCCTCCCTCTCATCTTTGTCCTTATTCTCCTGGTCAGAAGTAGCAGTTTCAGCAGCAGGGTTGTGATTAGAAGAAGGCACTGATGGTTCCAAAGTACGCGGACCTGCATTCATCCACGGATGTAGCAGGCATTGACCAGCTGTAGGTCGTTTCTCAGGAACAAAGTCAAGGATGGAAACCAAAAAGTCACTCATGTCACTTGCATCTTTCTCATTAAAATCATACTTCTCCGTGAGCACTTTAGTTAAAGGCCAGAATCGTAACCGACGGATATGTCTCAAATCACCATATCTATTAAAGAAATCCCGGGAATAACGCCCCCCTAATGCGATCTGAAAATTGTTATCCACAGACTCAAATTAACTGTGAACTAATGATCATAACTGCAAAGAAATGGGTGGAAAAATTGTATTACCTTACGTGGCATCATTCCAAGAAGTTCCATCATTAATGCTAAGTGGTCCTGAGATAAATTAAAGATAAAGCACAGTTCATCAGGGCTAAAACCAGAACCATAGCACAAATTCAAGTTAAAGTATTTTTAAATGTCGGTATTAAAGATTGTAACGTAACAAAAGAATCAACTTTGTCACTCCACCACAAAGTAAGTTATTACGATGAAACTGGAATGCATAAGAACATCCAATAGTCTTATCTTTAGAGAGCACACAAACCAAACCATTTCCTCAACAGGAACACAATCTTTCCTGAAGAGAATGGTGGGAAGTCATCATAGTGGGAGGCTGGTTTAGTTTTAGATGATTGTTCTGAAATATAAAATTGCAGGCTTTTTCCCCTCTTCTCCTTTATTTCTCTTGAAAGAAGAAATGGGGAAATCAATCAGTCTTTTTACCACTTGGATCTAAAGCATGGCTCAAATCATTTTACAATTTTACAAAGAACTTCCAGGTTAAAAAGTTCTGGCGAGTGTAATACAACAACAACATCAACAACCAAGTCTTATCCCACTAAGTGCATTTTCAGATTGCACAAATTAATATGTTTTTCACCAATCACCATGCCATCACCCCAATTCAAAAGGAAAATCTTACTGCCACTGAAGCAGAAAAAGGAAGTGCTCAACCTTGTGTGCTTCTTATCATGACCTAACATCTTAATTACATTCTATTATCCACCAATAATTAAGCTTACACCTCATAATACAGTTTTTTAGTTTTGTTTAAAACCTTGAGAAATAGATTTTTTCATGTTTCCAACTACATCATCAATTATCTATTTGTTTCATTAGCCATAATAAAGTCGTCTATTAAATAAAAATCAGGTAGATTCTTATCCTGTCATCCTGAAAAAAGTCTTCCAGATATTGTAAAAGGATAATATATAAATTATAAAAGATCGTCAATTGCACACATTTGTATTGATTACTCTCCTGTTCTGGTACTTAAAATTTGAATTCCTATATACATTAAGTACTGTATGAGTTGTTTTATTAAAACCTTCAAGTATTCGGACTGGGGAAGTTCAGACAAAGATAATCCTATCATGTTTCGATCAATGATGCGAACAGTTTTATAAAACACAGCAGCCGTAAAATTCATCAACTCCAGCAGCCAACTTGAGGGTGAACAAGGTGGGGTACATACTAGAATAACTTCACTTTTTAACCATATCAAAATCTGAATAACGATCAATATCAGACTTTTGTAGATCTAAGTCAGCCTATGCGAGGATGAAAAGGGAAGATACCTCAACTCATGAAACCACGTTAGTTGATTATCATAACAGCTAAGAACTGAAATCTCAAATATATTACTGAAAACATGTTGCAAATTCTGCCTTCATTGCGTTTCGTCCCTAACTGCCTAATTGCGACATTTGGGTTGCCTTCGTTGCAACCTCTAACACCTTCATTGTGTTGGGTGATTGTGTTGGGTGTGAAGGTGTGGATTTAACCTCACATTGCCTAGAAATATTACATGTGTAGTGCATATAAAGCCCTGGCAGCCCTCACCTTACAAGCTGGTTGTGTAAGGTTGAGTTAGTTCCAATGCAAAAGTTCTAAGAAAATATGATAAGTTATAAATTATATTAATTTCCAACCTTTTTTTGTTGCCAATTCAGGGACCATACAACCTAAATTCTGCACTGTGCAGAGTTAGAATGTGATGAGACAGAAGCATATAACATATAAATATGTAAAAAAAAAAAAACATACCTCGTCCCTATCAAAGTTGTCACCACTATGTGGATCAAATAACACGTCTCCAGTTGCAAGCTCAAAACATATGCAAGCAAACGACCAAAGATCTGCAGATGTAGAATATTTTGATCCAAGGATTACCTCTGGGCACCGATATTGCCTAGTCTGAATATCATTTGTAAACTGCTTATATGTCCAGCAAGCATTACCGAAGTCAACTAACTTGCATTTGTTATCAACAGAGGCAAGCAGTTTCTGTCTCGCTGTGCAGCTTCCTCTTCTGTTGCCCTGCTCATTTGACTTCGCCTCATCAGCATCTGATAACTTACTAGTGCCAGCAGAACTAGAAGTTTGTTCTCTTGCAGAACTTGCACTGGGAGATGATTCTACAGCACCAGAGGTTTCAGGATTACCATCAACTCCTTCGGATGCTTCCTTCTCAGCACATCCATGAGCTGCTTGCTTAGCCTTTCTCTTAATATTTTTCTTATGATTCTTAAACAAATCTCCATTGGATGTTTTTGTGTCTCTTGAAACTGTTGACTCTAGCATTTTGTCTTTACTATTAGGAAGAATAAGAGGAGCGCCGGACTTTCTAGGATCCTTAGACGGATCTATCGTTGATAAAAGAAGGATATTTTCAGGTTTCAAGTCAGTATGTATGATAGAAAGCTGCTTATGTAAGTAATCCAATCCAACCAAAATATGATAGCATATCTCTTTAACCATGTTGATAGGGATTCCACGATAATCACTATACTTAATAAGAGTTAAGAGGTTATCCCCAAGGTACTCAAAAACCATACAAACATGCTGTCCATTCGGACCAAAATGCTTGAAATGGTCCAAAAGCTTGACCACACATTTTTTATCATCCATGTCTCCCTCCGCAATCTGTTGCAAAATTGTTATCTCATCTAGAGCTGCCTCGGTGTAATGCTGAGCACTTTTTTGAACTTTCAAAGCCACATATCTCTGCAGATCTCCACACACAAAAAAAGCAAAAACAAACTAATAATGTGAAAAAACATGTCAAACCATTGCACTATGACCAACAACAAAGACAAAAACAACTAAAAATTGTTCAACTTTTGTCTAAGAGTGTGATTGGTTATGCCGTGAAAAAATTGATTCTGAATGAATTGATTCTATAAAATTTCTTATGGCTGAAAGTGAGTTGAAGGTAAAGTGATTTATGTTTAGATAAATTCTTGTAAAAGTGAGTGGAATGGTAAATTTCAGGGTAAAAATCACATTAGACTCAAAAGCTACAAAATCCTAACTTCAAGTAGAATCAATTCTGGAAAACACAATTAATTCCACTCGAGAGCAACCAAACCTGTCAAAATCAATTTTACACATCCAGAATAAATTTTAAGTGCTCCAACCGTGAAACCAAAAATAAACTAAATGATTGCTCAAACCCTAATATTGAAAGTGCAATTTTCTTCCTATATTATAAATTAATTATTCAATCCCTAAAATTCAAAGTATTACTTCCTTCCTAGATTATAAACCAAAGCACTAAACGATTCCTTAATCTCTAAAATTCAAAGTCCTCTCTGCTCAATCCTACAAATCCCTAGCATGTAAATGAACTCAATTACTCAATCAAAAAGTCTAACAAAAAAACTTAAAAGCCTAAAAATCGGAAGACAAAACAATGATTGCATATAAAAATGAAAAAGAGAAGATTATGAGAGAGGAAGAGGAACAAACAGAATGATTAGTATCCCAAGCGAGCCAGACAGTAGAGAAATGTCCCCAGCCAAGCTTGCTCTGAACGACATATCGACCGGAGTTGAAAGTATCGCCGATTCGGACGGCGTGGTAGCCGCCGCGTCGGTAATCTTCGGTGCCTTCGTCTTCGGAGGTGAAATCGCTGCTTTCGGTATTGGTGTCGCCCATTTGACGCAACGATTATGTGAAAGAAGAGAAAAAGGAAAATGAGGGGCTTTTGTTATTAGAATTTTGCAGAAACTTTGGTTTTCCTTCAATTCGTTTTCCTTCGCGGTTAATTTAACTCAGTAAAGTGTCATCTTCGTTTATAAATAAAATAATCTCGTTTTCATATGATCCTTCGTCGTTATTATTGAGCACTCACCACAGTTTATACAAAAAAATTGTAATCTACCTGTCCAATATTATAAAGAGAATATTTTGTTATCATTTTTTTATTTAATTATTTTTTATTATTAATTTTTATATAATTTTTTATTATTAACTTTTATATTTATATTTTTTAAAATTTTTATTTAAACATAAAATATTATTAAAATTTTTATTCATGCGGATTAAAAAAACGGATAACCCTAAATGTTAATAATAATAATATGAATTATAATTTATAAATTATTTTCATTAAACTTCAAACAATCCCTATCTCAAAAAAAAAAAAACATGTCGGTCAAATTATTAAGTATGGTATGTTACGGTTCTATTGGAAAAGAAAATAGGAGTTTTTTCTTTTACTCAAGAAAATAGGAGATAAGTAGTAATTGAGATTATTGAAATTAAACGTATACGGATAAATTTGGAGAATTCTTATATATTATTATAATTTTATAAAATAAAATATATTAATATGAATTTTTTATATTAATTATAGCTTAGAATATAAATAAATTATTTTAAGGTTTTGTAATATTATTTGACTATTTTAAATATAAATTGCATAAAATTATTAAATAAATGAAATGGTATGTTAAAAAATTTCTAATCAGAAATTATATATGATTTAATCATTTATATTTTGACTATATATTAACAAATAATTGCGTTAAAAAATGCATAAATTAATACTGAAATTTTGATTCAAAGAACAAAGAACAATTGAAATTTAATATATATATATATATATATATATATATATATATATATATATATATATATATATATATATATATATATATATATATATATATATATATATATATATATATATATATATATATATATATATATATATATATATATATATATATATATATATATATATATATATATATATATATATATATATATATATATATATATATATATATATATATATATATATATATATATATATATATATATATATATATATATATATATATATATATATATATATAATCTAACCTGATCAGAAGGGGATCACGGGCTGGCCACACGCTGTTGGACTGCTACCTGTTCACCGATGACGAGGAGGAGAAGGGGGGTGTATCTGCAAAACACTCTGATGCCAAAGTAAGGAGTTGGGCAGAGCGAGAGCAAAGTACAGAAAAATGGGTAAGAAGTGAATTACCTGACCCTCTTGAGGAAGAGGGTATTTATAAAGAGACCTCAGCGCTGGGCCAACGGTCACTTGCGTTGGGCTAGATTGTCAGGCCCAACCCAGATGACTGTTAGGGCTTACATGGCGTAATGAAGACCATGACGTGGACTTCGCCCTAGTCCAACTGTCCCGAGATATCCGGAAAGTGGGGTTGACCTGCTCTTTCGGAGGTGGGCAGTTGTTTGGTGACGTGTCCCCGCGGAGGGGAGCACGCGGAGAGCGTGCGGCTGACACGTTGTTCTCCCCGCGGAGGGGGGCTCGTGGGATTCGCTGAGAGTACGTTGTTCTTCCCGTGAAGGGGAGCTCAGGAGGTTCCCCGGGGGTGTGTGACTCTCCCAAGCGGGGAGCACACGAGAGCGGGGGAGACATACCGTCGTGCCCGTTGGCAAGGGGATTTTGCCCGTGGAGGTTGTTTTGTCCGGCTAGGGGGAGCGCCGAGGACGCTTAGAAGCGCGCCGTCCTGCTTGACAGAGAGCATGTCCTGCCCGTCCGGTGGGGGGGCGTGTGCCCGGTCAGGCTACTCCACTCATTGGGCCTCGTGCGTTATTGGGCTGGGCCGCGAGGCTGGGCCCAGGCATATATATATATATATATATATATATATATATATATATATATATATATATATATATATATATATATATATATATATATATATATATATATATATATATATATATATATATATATATATATATATATATATATATATATATATATATATATATATATATATATATATATATATATATATATATATATATATATATATATATATATATATATAAAGTAATGGCATGTTTGATGTAGAAAAGTTGAATATTTAATTTAAAGAATATAATGGAATAATATCTTAATCCTTGTAAGTTGTGAATTTATAAGGATCAATAATTTGGTTATATTAATATATAAATGAAAAAATAAAATAAAAATGCACTTAATTAGCTCAAGTATCAAATCATGTGGATTTATGTGTTATGTATGTGTAGTGGTTTCCATTTGGTATATTATCTTGTTGGTTTTGATGATGATAACACTTTATGTCAAATCACATTTAAAAGATGTCTTTATTTATCAAGACGATACATCAGTCAAGATGTTTTTTATGATGATATATGTCAAATGGTGTTCAATGAAGTCTTTGGTGACAATTGTTCAGCAATCTGTGATGTTGACATTCGATCAAGACTCTTTAAAGTCTCTCTTATTTTACAAAAACACTTGAAAAACAATTAGGGTTTCTAACTATATAGTTTATGTGTGCAAAATTATATTTACTTGATGGAACTAGTTCTAACATTTAAATGACTTTGGTTCGGTTCTAATCATGCTCTCTCGAGGATGTCTAATCAGAAAAGCAGCTGCTAGTGAAGGTGGGAAAAACACTTAGAAGGGGGGTTGAATAAGGGTTTTGAAATAATTCTGATGGCAATAAAAACAACACAGTATTTTTATCCTAGTTCGTTGAACTTAACTAATCTAGTCCACCCTACCAAGGTGATTTTCCTTTTCTCAACAAGGACTTAATCCACTATATTCAAACAGATTACAGTGTCAACCACTAAGAACAACTGTCTTAGTCTTCTCAAGAAATCCTGACCACAACTTGGTCTTCTTAAGGAACCTTTTACAAATAAATGTAAACTAACAAGTGTTTAAGATGCTTCTAAAAAGCTATATCACAACTGTGATTTTTACACTTAGATTAAGAACGAATAAAAACTATTCAGCTTATGAAATATACTGTATGAGAGCTTGAGATTAGTTTTCAATTTGATTTCTCAATAATTCGTCAATTTTGAAATGTTGTTGAAGACATCCTTTTATAGAGCAGAAAGTCAAATGCTTGAAGACTGTGCGTAGTAGAGTAGCTGTAACCTTTTTGTCTTCTATTGACTTTAGCTTTCCTAAAAGAGGAATGTTCAGACAAATCCCTTTTGTCTGATTTCCTATGCCATACATGAATAAGGAAAGATTCGTTTTGAATATGCCAATGGATATATCTTTGAATAATATCTTCTTCAACAAGCTTCTGTCTCAAAGTTATCAACATCAGAGTCTTGAAGTGATCAGAGTTTGATGGTATTAGAGTCTTGATGTTATCAGAGTTTTGCAGCCAATGTGCTTCAGCGTGAATATCAATCAGAGCAGAGTTTGAATAACAAAGCCTTTGTACTTGCAGCGAAAAGTACTTTTAGAGTCTTCTTGAAACAATGCTTGAAACTCTTCATACAAATTCTTCAACTACGCTTTAGAGTCTTCTGCAGCTTCTGCTTCAGAGTCTTTTGCAGCTTCTGCTTCAGAGTCTCTTCTGGCAGCGCTCAGAGTCTTCTGATGACTTGCTTCTGATGCTTCAGAGCTTTGCGTAGAGTAATGTTCAGATGCCTTTTTGCTTCCATAAGAATATTTATTTTAATATCTGAAACAAAAATACTTGAACAAAATTAGAGTATATATTTTCTTAATACAAAATTTCATTAGTGTTATCATCAAAACTTAGAGATATATTAAACACCTATCTGTGTTCTAACAATCTCCCCATTTTTTATGATGACAAAAACATAGGAAATTTTGTTCAATAAAAGGATAAATATATAACTCCCCCTGAAATAAAGAATCTCCCCCTGAAATGAATACTCTAATAAAAAAAAATACTTCCCTTTTTGCATGAGTATACTTTTTAGATTAAGAGCCTGGTTAGAATCCTGGTTAGAATATACTTTCCAGAATCAAATCTTGATTTACTTTCCAGAATCAGAGCTTGATTTGCTTTCCAGAATCAGAGCCTGGTAATCAGAACCTGGTTTGAATTAAGGTCTAGTTTGGGGATTCTCAGGGTAACTTCAATGAATTTTTTCAGATGATACGTTATAGTTTTGAAAGACTAAAATTCAATGTTAGTTATAATTTGTTATGTCTAAATTCTATTTTAGTAACTGTTTATTTTTGAACAATCAGAATTTCTTTTTCTCCCCCTTTTTGTCATAATAAAAAAGAAACCTGTAAAGACAAATAAAGGATAACAGAAGAAAATAATATAAAAAAAGATAAGGAAACAACCAACTTCATTGATAAATAAAATCCAGAAAACATTCAGATACACAACAAAACAACATCAACAACAAAAACAGCAAACAGGTGCACAAACATAACAGAAAAACAACTAAGGTTGGCGAGAGGCTATCATCTTCAGAAGGTTTGTAATCTCAGAAGTAGAATCCTCTTGTCTAGTCATCCAAGTTTTAATCTCATATGTGGTTTGTTCTTGCTTGACCATCCATGTTCTGATCTCTTTGTTGCTGGCTTCTAGTTGATCAAACTTTTCTTCTAAATCTGGATTTTCTGTCTTGATTTCAAAAGAAGCAGGAGCAGATACAGATGCAGGAGCTGAAGCACTATCAATGACCATAGCAGATGTAGATGCATTTTCTTGAATCACGAAATTAGATGCTTGTTCCAGAATCGTCAGAGCTGACTGATTATATACCAGAGTTGTTTCATGTGCATATTCTTCTGTCAGAACTTTTGTAGGAGCAGATTCTTCAGCAATCACAGAATTAGCAGATTCTTCAGAAGATGAATTTTCCAGAAG